CCAATCAATTCACCTTGCACTTAAAGAGCCTGATAATTATACCATCAGGAAATACTCAACTCAGCTCAAGATCAGAGGGCCAATAGCTTTCGAGATCTAGAAGCTGTAACCATTTTAAATAAATAGTTTTTTTAAATCGTGATTTTTTTTTTTAATAAATAGCCCAACATTGGCAGTCTTTAAAGGCTGACTGGAAGCTCACTTGGCCATAGCAAAGCTTAGCGTGTTTCTCTCTAAACAAAAAAGAGCTACATTTAATACCCTCAAATGTTCCGTGGTGCTGCATTTGAAAATTCCATTGCATATGAAATTTTCCAGCTTAAATGGCAGATACTATGTGCTTCTGTAATAATTGGAAACTTCCTAAACTCCTCTCTTAAAACAAAGTCATATAGAATATATTTCCATCCACTGGATCCCACAACCTACTCATCACTCTATGTCATCCATTGCACACTTGCCTTTCTGGAGTTTCACAGATTGGGTTAGAGGAGGAGGGAACCTTGCCTTGTTCTGGGACTTGTGGCAGGATCTCAGATGCAGTTGTCATTTTCAGGACAGCCAACTAAATTCTGTTAAATCCAAAATGGTGCTCACTTCTGAAAGTGGGCTATGCAGGTTAGCAACTGAGCAGTTTGCTCTTCTCTAATGCAATCTCCAGAGAGCTCTGCAGCTCTTTGCAGCACTCCGAATACATCTCGCATTGGAGAAGAATGTGAGGAGGCATGGCCTAAGAACTCAGAAATGAACACCATTTTGCAGCAGCCACAATTCATTGCAGCTGGTCTGAAAATTGGCAGTTGCTTCTGGAACCGGACCAGACAGCTTAGGTACAGTGCAGCTTCTGCTTCTCCCATGTGAACATGGCATGCCTCAGGGGAGGGGAGGCCTTAGGAGGCCCATGGCAGAACCTGCACTAGACCTCCCAGAGCCTCCCACCAAGCGCCCTGGTGTACCCTTTGCTTTATTTAATGGCCACATTGGAACAACATATGTGGGGGTTGCATTTAATTGTGGTTACTTTTCAAATATTTGCAAAGTAGAGGAACTGGAAACATTCAAGTGGAAGTCTGAGAGCAAAAACGTCTTTTCTCCTTTAGGGAAGGGAGTTTGGATGAAAGATATGTGGAAGGCCTCTTTAAAGCACTGACAGAACTGAGAAACTTAAGAGAGTTAAGGTAAGAAACCTTCATGTTAACCTCCTTTAATCTGTTTGGGAGTCATTATCCGCCATTTTGTTGTATGGGTGGGGTAACTGCTTTTAACGGTCACTTTATAATTTATTATTGACATCCAGTTCGTAACCAAAATATGTCAAAAATTTATTATTAAATGAAGGAATAGTATAGAGAGAAAGCAGTGGGAATTTCAGTGGAACTAGAACTTAAATTCACAATATACTTAAAGCAATTTGGTTTAAGATGTTTCACCATAGTCTAGTCATGATTTTGAAAATAAGTTTTTGTGTGAAATGCTGAAAATGTAATGAAAAAATTCAATTCCTCTTCCATATGTGGTAGCAGTGTTTCAAAGCTAATAAATCCTCTTTTGGAATTAATTTTGAAAATCTTAATTCCATTATAGTCTAAGATTTTTATTAAAAATTAAACCATGCATTTCTTTAATATGCTGAAAATACTGAATACCAGCATTGAATATGTTAAGAGCTACAAGGATTTTATATATTCTTTATTGGAAAAAGATATTTGATCCTCTGTAAAGAAAGGCTAACAAAATTGTGGGAATATATAATATGTCTAGATTAACTTCATATTTTAAAAGGAAATTATATTTAGAATTCCATTCAATGTGAAATACATTTTATTTTACAACTGCACACATGAAATGATGCCAAATCCAACATATGTGTTTCAGAGCTTATTTCTTCCTTTGACATATAATCTATATATTATTTATAGGATAATTTAAATATATTGTTTATATCTAACCATATGATACTTTAACTGCCCATAACCATTGCTTTTAATTATTTCTTATTATTAACTGTACCACCTACTTTTTTAAATAAAGTTTTTTATTTCTTTCAGTTTCATAACATATAATCAAATGTATACTATTACATAGCCAACATCATATTGTATTATTAAATGTTTACATCGATTCATCTTACCATNTTATTGGTAACCTCATTTCAAACTCTACAATATGCTGTTTCTCTGCTTCACTCAGTCTTCAGCTCTGGTGCATGTGGATCCCTCACCAAATTCTCCCACACTCAGTCACCCACTGCGTATTGCAGAAGTCAGCTAGTCCTTTGATCCAATTAGACTTAAGGAAGTAGCTGGGCTCCTTGGGAAGATTCAATTGTGTCCTCTTTTGCAATCATGTCCTTCCTGGTTAGTAAAGGCCTCCCAGGAGACCACGTATAGCTGAATCCAGCAAATGGAAAGTGATACTTGATCAAATGAAGTGAGAGATCATTTGAAGAGCACTGGAGGAAATAATTATCTTGATTCTTTCCACTTGTGTTTCAGGTTGACATATAGCACTGAGCTAGTATTGATTGAATTTGTGGATGGCCCCAGGAGATATTTGTCCAAGCTCTACTTGAGCTCTGTTATAGCTTTAATGCTGTTGATTATAATATGCTTTTGGAATGGCTTAGTGTCTTAGGAGTGGGAAGAATGGTTTAATAGCAGTTCTTCTTCTTAGACCAGTTTTGCAACCCAAACTGCAAGACAGGACAAGAGCACAGTTAGATATGTCTGGTTATGTTTATCATTGTGGGCCATTCAAGCCTGCCCATAAAAGAAAAATGGGAAAGAGGAAAATATGTAGAAATGTATAAGAATTATTAGGTAAGAAATCTAATGAAGGTTATAAATCTACACATTCATAGAAGCCATACAACCATGTTTTTCCTATTTAAAAAATGCTTTATAATTTACCCATTATTATAAGTCTAGTTCACTAATTCTAGTCCATCTTTAGTTGCAGATGTTGATGTTGATGCCCACCAACTTATATCAGGTAAGGCAGAAAACATCAAAATGAAACCTAATTCAGCATGATCTGGTCCTTCCCTTTGCCTCCCCATCTATTCAAACTACTGTGTATATTAATCACAGTAGAAAACTGCAGAGTGGTTTTAGCACTGCTGACCATGAAGAAAGGGAGGGAGGGAGGAAGGATTTCCAATGTTTCCTGCTAGTTTTTATGGGGAAGCCAGAAGGGAGTTCGAATTTACTCCCACTCTCACTGCTATTTTGCCCTCCTGTGTCATTCTATTTCTCTCCTTAGAGAAGAAAATATTTCTAAAACATGACACAACATGGCATGGGTTGTCTAGTATTATTTTATAATTGTTCATTATAGTTTCTGTTCACACACAACATGTTGAGAACTTGTAAGTAATAAAAACTATTCTTGTACATTGGCTAACTGAGGCCATAAAAGTTTCTTTGCAATCTTAAGCAAAAACAAAATCTTAGATAGCATAGAGAATCCATTTCTGTTGCCCACCCATCATTTCCATGTAATAGGTCAAAGAATATAGCCATCACAAAAATTAAAACTTAAGGGTATTTCTGGGGTGGAGTCACACTGGTGCAGAGCAGAAGAACAGGGCTCTTTCTTTCTGCCCAATTTTCCGTGCCAGGAGGCTTGCAAAGGCCAATCTCACTGCTAAATGTTGACTATAAAATATTTATGACAATCATTGCAGACTTAAAAATATTAAATAAAACTATTCATTCAGATTAAAATGGATTCCTACCCAAGAGACAATTAAGAAATAATACAAGAATTATAGTGAATGTATTAGAATATTATGAAGCACATCCAGAGAAACAATTAGCATTAGTATTGGTAGACGCACAAAAAGCTTTCAATAATTTAAATTGGAGTTACTTATTACACAATTAGCTATTATGAAATTTGGAGAAAAAATTATTAGAATGATTAAGGCAATATATTCAAACCAGAGAGCTAAAATAAAGGTGAATGAAGATCTAACAGACAAAGTCACTATAAATAAAGGGGTCAGACAAGGATGCCCACTATCTCCTCTTCTATTTATCCTCTCATTGGAGGTTTTACTAACACGGATTAGGGAAAAAGAGTAAATAAAAGGGTTAAAAATTAAAAAAGAAGAATACAAAACTCAGGCATTCACGTACGATATGGTTTTTATAATAGAAGACCCCCTTTCAACAGGGAAAATATTAATTCAAGAAGTAGAGGAATTTGGTAAAGTTGCAGGTTTAAAAATAAATAAAAAGAAAACAAAGATAATTACTAAAAATCTTACACAAAGGCAAAATGAGGAATTAGAGAGAGTATTGGAAATGCAAATAGTTAAAAAGATAAAATATCTTGGAATCTGGCTAACGGCTAAATGTTCTACCATAAAAGAAGACAATTATTCAAAATTATTACAACAAATACGAAAGGACTTGGAAAATTGAGCTAACTTACAATTATCGCTGATTGGAAGAATTGCGACCATAAAAATGAATATCCTACCAAAATTTTTATTTCTATTCCAAACTGTACCAGTTTGGTACGGGGGGGGGGGTGATTTCGTGGAACTAAATAAAATAATTTTAAAATTTATTAGGCTGGGGGGGAAAGCTAGGATAAAATTAAAATTACTACAGGATTCTAGAATCAGAGGAGGATTTGGCATCCCAGATTGGGAGCTTTACTACCAGGCAGCAGCGGCAACATGGCTCAAAGAATGGATAATACTCCAAAATAAAAGAATATTAATGATAGAGAGCCATGATTTACAGCTGGGCTGGCAACCGTTCTTCCTATGTTTTAGCATCCAGTCCCCTAATCATATTTGTTGCTCTTCTCTACACTCTTTCTAGAGTCTTAAACTCCTCTAATTTGTCTTCTTCCTTTAAAAGCATTAGTAGTAGTAGCAGTACCAGCCAATTAAATACACAGATTACCTGATCTCTTCAGCAAGCTGGAGGTTAGAAGCAGTGGAGCCTCTTTTTGTGATGTTCAAAACACGAGCAAAACACTGAGATAATAATTCCCAATAGCAGGAAGGGGGAAAAAGTGGAGGATTTCCTGCTTCTTGATTTAAAGAACAAGAGGCAGAAACAGCATTAAAAAAATGAGAATGTTTAAAGTTGGTATATTGCATAGACAGCTTTCTGTAAATGGTCAAAACACATATCAAAAATAATAAAAAACAAAAAGGGAAAACATTATAAAAATGAAAAAATAAAAGTGCAGTGTCTTTAGTATGTGGACAGTGGTCAGACAAGATCTCCCAATGCTGCTTTCCCTCTTACACTCACCTTAAAATATCGCTGGCTCTCTCACCCCAATGTTTCAGCAATGAGTTAGAAATCCATCTGGAAGTTGTATGAGATTATTCCAAGATGGTTTCTTCCAAACCAAGAGCTTTGGCTGCCAAAAAATTAGTTTGGTAGTAAAAACTAGCTGTCCACTGGCAGAGGGGAAAAAGGACTCTGCACTCAGAATGCCATTTTCTGGAGAACTCCCCCTATTGACATCAATACTGACACACCAATTAACCAAGTATTCTACAACTTCTCTCCACACATTAATCCAAAGGGTGAATGTGGGTGGCTTCAAGGAAAAAATACAAAGACAAAACACTTAATTGAGTATATTGTGCAGTCTTTATTTTTCACACTTCTAATCTGATTCATTCTTCTTTTAGATTACAAAAACTACATTAAAAAAACATTTGATAAAATGAAAGATCCTAATGCTGTTCCTGGTGAATATGTACTCCTGAATCAGAGATATTCAAAATTAATCATGCTAGATGATCACCAGTCTGAAGAGGAGAGAGAAGATGAAATTATGGCAACAGGAAGGAAACATGTTGAAATCATCAGCAAGAGAGCCAAGTCTTCAACCAGCATTGAAAAATTATTTAACCCTGATAAACATGGATTAATTCCACAAGTAGTTGTGTTGCAAGGAGCTGCAGGAATTGGAAAAACTATGATGGCCAAAAAAATCATGTTTGATTGGGCTTCTCAACAACTTTACCAAAACAAATTTAATTATGTTTTCTATATTTATTGTAGAGAGATGAATCTCCATGCAGAATCAGAAAAGAGTAGCATTGCAGAGATAATTTCAAAACAGTGGCCCAAATATCATGGAATGAAAAATGTCATTCGAAGCATACTGAAAAATGAAAACAAGCTTCTGTTCATAATTGATGGTTTTGATGAATTACGATATTCCTTTGATGATCAGTGTGAAGTCTACTTTTGCACTGATCCCTGGAAGGAGGAGCCAGTGAGAATTATTTTGAGCAATTTATTTCAAAAAAAGCTTCTACCTGAATCTTATCTTATAATCACAACAAGACCTATTGCTTTGGAGAAACTCCATCGATGTTTAGAGCACCCACGGTATTTTCAGATATTGGGGTTTTCTACAAAGGAGAGGGAAGAATATTTCTACAATTTTTTTGGAAATAAAGACCAAGCAACTGAAGCTCTCAGATTTGTGAAACAAAATGATATGCTTTTCACCATGTGTGTCATTCCCCTTGTGAGCTGGATCATCTGCACAGTGATGAAGCAGGAGATGGAGAGAGGCAAGGATCTGCAGAAGACACCATGCACCCTCACTGCAATCTATATGCTGTATCTCTGCAGCTTGTTAAAGTTTCACCAAAAAAAATCCAAACAGGATGTCCAAACCAATGTGAAAGGTTTGTGCTCTTTAGCTGCAGAAGGAATCTGGAAACAGCAAATATTATTTATGGAGGAAGAAGTCAAGAAGCACAGTTTGGATCAGGAACAATCCCTTTCCCTCTTTCTGAATGAGAACCTCTTCAAAAGAGACATTGATTGTATTCAAACATACAGCTTCATTCACTTAAGCTTCCAGGAGTTTTTTGCTGCTTTGTTTTATGTTCTAGAAGAAAGAGAGGAGCAACATTCTGAAAATCGGAATAAACATTTGCAGACACTGTTAGAAAGACATATATATTTTAGGACTGATTTTGTAGTAGGATTTCGCTTCCTCTTTGGTTTTTTAAATGAAGAGTGATGGAATGAAATTGAAAAAGAGTTAATATTTTGTATGACCACTAGAGGGAGCCAAGAGAGAGTTTTAGAAGAGAACTTTGTAATCATTTAATTGGTTAAAGAAAAACAATGTTAGAAGTTGATTGGTTAAATGTCATAATTCTATATAAGGTAATAGTTAGGGCGTTACTGTCGCTGACTAGTTTGTGACCGCCCCTATCAGGCTAGCTGATATGGGAGTAGGAGGAGTTAGGGAGGGTATAACTGCTGTCTCACTTTCATTGTGGGTGTGGCTCTCCTTTGTGACT